ACTGGTATGAAAATTTCTTCTAATGGTGGAGTAGTGGCTTCTGTTATACCTTTGTTTTGGTAACCTATTAACTAACATTTGCAGGGATTCCTTTTGATTGGGAATTTGTCCTGTTATTTCAAACCATTTAAAGAATTTGTCCTGTTATACCAACAAAGTCACCACTTATAAAATGAAAAATGCATCAGACAAAAATGCTGCAACGTTAATAGTTTCGGGATTTACTGGTGTATTAAAAAATTAGTGGGATAATTATCTCTCTGAAAAAAATAAAGGTCAAATCCTAGGAGCCACTACATTAGCAACTATAGTAAAAATCGAAGGTAATATGCAAGTTGCAGAATAAGAAGCTAGAGAATATGCATCTGCAACTTTAATCTACTATATTGCTAAGCACTTTATTGGAGAACCAGAACATTTTCAAGACAAAAGTTTAGAACTTCTTAATAATCTTAACTGCCCAAAATTAACAGATTTTAGGTGGTATAAAGATATGTTTGTAGAAAAGGTAATGATTAGAGAAGACTGCGGTAATGCTTTCTGGAACGAAAGATTTATCAGCGGACTACCAAGATTGTTTGCCGAAAAGGTAAGAACAAAAATCAAAGATAGATTTAACGGCAAAATCCCTTATGATAATCTTACATATGGAGATTTAATCAGTTTGATTAATGTAAAAGGTCTTGACATATGTACAGACCTAAAACTTAAAAGTCTTATTAAAAAGGACATTCTTCAATCCAAAGCAGAGTTAAGTAATTTCTGCCAAGACTTTGGTTTTTAAACAATTGCTGCTCCATCTAAAAGAGCATCAAAACAACATAAAAAATCTTCAGAGAATCCAAAAGCTACCATATTCCCATCACACTAAAAGTCAAAGATATCATGCTAAATAAATTAGCTTTACTAGACTCAAGTTCAGACATAAACTGCATAATGGAAGGAATAATACCAATAAAGTACCTTGAAAAAAGTACTACAAAACTATACTCCGCCACGGGAGAAAAATTAAAGATAAATTATAAGTTATCAAAAGCACACATATGTAATGATGGAATCTGTTTTATAAATGACTTCGTGGTAACTAGGGATATAAACGAAGAAATTATCCTAGTGTCACGACCCAAAACCAACTGTCGTGATGTCGCCTATCGTGGAACTAGGCAAGCCAACTACTCAACCAGATCAACCAAATAAAAGCTTTGAAAATTAAATGGAAGCAGTTAATACTTAAGGAAAACCCTTTAAAAATCAAAATAAAAACACAACGCAATACAAATCTCACCCAAAAACTGGGGTGTCACCGAGTACATAAGCATCTATACCAGGATACAGCCTACTACAATGTCTGAGGAATAAGAATTGAAATAAAAATAAGATACGAAAGGAGAGTCAAGGCCTGCGAACGCCATGCAGCTACCTCAATAGTTTCGGAGATCTCGACTCCTCACTCAGCAGCAACCGTAACCAGAAGCACCTGGATCTACACACGAGGTGCAGGGTGCAGCATGAGTACAACCAACTCAATAATTAACAAATCCAAACTGTGGACTGAAAGTAGTGACAAACTCAACCGGCACATTTCAATATAGAAAATAAGTGCAGAAACGTAGACATGCTTTCAAGTTCGATAGATATCTCAAAACAGTAAAACGGATCAAATCTGAATGATATCAAGAATATAACTCCTCTACTTCTACAATGCCAATGCACATGCTGTATATGACGCAGCATGCTAACAGCCTCATGTGCTCACACTCTCAAATGCTCAATCACTCGGTACTGTATATGGCCCATACGGTCCAGGGACGATCCATCCCAGAATATATACGTCACTGACCATCAGTCACCCAGTACCGAGTAGGGCCAATCCAGCCCGTGAAGAAGATCGATCTCCAGGTATATAATGCTTCGGACAAGATTCATGTCCGGGGAAGATCCATCCCTCAATATAATCAACAGCGCTCACTGGGGGTGTGTGCAGACTCCGGAGGGGCTCCTTCAACCCAAGAGCTATCATAAATCAGTATAACCGCTGTGGTATGCAGCCCGATCCCATAATTGTCACTCATAATCAGGCTCTCGGCCTCACTTAGTCATCAATCTCTCTAGTCTCACTCATGGGCTCACCATGTCATGAAAATATCCCGAAAACAATTATATGATGTAGCAATGAATAACAACAGAGACTGAGATATGATATGAAATGAATGAATATGACTGAGTACAAAATATCAATGAAATCAGTAAGACAACAGTAAGAAATGACCAATATGGGTCCCAACAGTTCTGGCATAAATCCTAAACATGATATATAGCATGAGTGACAGCTCAATTACTTTATTACATGATGAAAACACGGATATCATCAAGATAGAACCACTAGAAAGTGCCAAGGAATCGACCAGGACACAATTCTCACGGTGCACGCCCGTCACTTGGCATGTGCGTCACCTCAATACAAATCACATAACACATAAGTTTGGGGTTTCGAACCCTCAAAACAAAGTTTAGAAGTATTACTTACCTCAATCTGAGCAAATCCCTACTCCAATAAGCCTTTGCCTCGCAAATCGGCCTCCAAATGACCCGAATCTAGCCACAAACAGTACAATACAATCAATACTGGCTAAAGGAATCAATTCTATAAGAAATTACGAAGTTATAACTCGAAAATCCGAAATCGGCTCAAACCCGGTGCCCGGGCCCACGTCTCTAAATCCCACAAAAGTCACACATTCGAAAGCCCACTCACTCACTCACGAGTCTAGTCATACCAAATGAGACACATAAATCCGACCCTGCATCCTCAATACCCAATCGTCCCCAATAGTTACGTCTTTGGCATCACAGTGCTGAACCATGTCCTTAAGGACAAGCAAATGTGGATCATCATAGTAGCTCTCTCTGATGCGATCATATAAGGAAGACCGAGAAACCACATAGGCTAGAACCTGACTGGGCTCCGAAATATCCAATCTCATGAACTGGTTGGCCAAAGCCTAAACATCAACTGCAAGAGGTCTCTCCCCAACGGGAATGAATGCAAGACTACCCATACTCACCGCCTTTCTACTCAATGCATCGGCCACCACATAGGCTTTCCCGGGATGATACAAAATGGTTATATCATAGTCCTTTAGCAGCTCCAACCATCTCCACTGCCTCAAATTTAGATCCTTTTGTTTGAACAAGTGCTGGAGACTCTGATGATCCGTAAACACCTCACAAGACACACGGTAGAGATAATGCCTCCAAATCTTCAATGCATGAACGATGGTAGCTAACTCCAAATCATGAACAGGGTAGTTCTTCTCATGAGGCTTCAACTAGCATGAAGCATAAGCAATCACTCTACCCTCCTGCATCAAGACAAACCCAATACCAATCCGAGAAGCATCACAATATACTTTATAAGAGCTTTAAGCTAAAGACAAAACTAGAACTGGAGTTGTGGTCAAGGCAGTCTTGAGCTTCTAAAAGCTCTCCTCACACTCATCCGACCGCCTGAAAGGAGCACCCTTTTGGGTCAATTTGGTCAAGGGCGATGTAATAGACGAGAAACCCTCCACAAAGAGACGATAATAATTGGCCAAGCCGAGAAAGCTCCGAATCTCAGTAGCTGAGGACGGTGTGGGCCAACTCTGAAACGCCGCTATCTTCTTCGGATCTACCTGAATACCCTCACTGGGCACCATGTGTCCCAAGAATGCCACTCAGCTGAGCCAAAACTCACACTTGGAGAACTTGGCATAAAGCTTCTCCTCCCTCAACCGCTGCAACACAATCCTCAAATGTTGGGCATGCTCCTCATGGCTAAGAGAGTACACCAAGATATCATCAATGAACACTATAACAAACGAGTCGAGATAAGGCTGAAACACACTATTCATCAGATGCATGAACATTGCTGGGGCGTTGGTCAGCCCAAAAGACATCACAAGTAACTCATAATGACCATAACGAGTCATGAAGGCTGTCTTAAGAATATCCGAGTCCCGAATCTTTAACCGGTGATATCCAGACCTCAAATCAATCTTGGAGAACACCCTCGCTCCCTGAAGCTGGTCAAATAGATCATCAATATGCGACAAAGGACACTTGCTCTTGATTGTGACTTTATTCAACTGCCTATAATCAATGCACATTCTCATAGTACCATCTTTCTTCTTCATAAACAGTACTTGTACACCCCAAGGTGACACACTAGGCCTAATAAACCCCTTATCAAGGAGTTCCTGAAGCTGCTCCTTTAATTCCTTCAACTTAGCTGGTGCCATGCGATATGGTGGAATAGAAATGGGCTGAGTGCCCGGAACCAAGTCAATACCGAAGTCAATATCCCTGTCGGGCGGCATGCCCGACAAGTCTGTAGGAAACACATCCGGAAACTCCCGCACCACCAGAATAGAATCAATAGTAGGAGAATTGGCATTAACATCCCTCACAAAGTCCAGATAAGATAAACAACCCTTCCCAACCATCCGTTGAGCCTTCAAGTATGAAATCATTCTACTGGTAACATAGTCTAGAGAACCTCTCCACTCAATCCTCGGCAACCCAGGCATCGCCAACGTCACTATCTTAGCGTGACAATCTAGAACAGCATGACATGGAGACAACCAATCTATCCCCAAGATCACGTCAAAACCAACCATACTAAGCAACAAGAGATCAACTCTAGTCTCCAGACTCCCAATGGTCACTACACAAGACTGATATACACGGTCTACAATAATAGTATTGCCAACTGGCGTAGAGACATGAATAGATGAAACTAAGGACTCACGGAGCATATCCAAATGATGAGAAAAATATGATGATACATATGAATAAGTAGAACTAGGGTCAAATAGTATAGTGGCCTCCCTGTGGCAAACTGAGACAATACCTGTGATCACTGCGTTTGAAGCAATAGCATCAGGTCTGGCAGGAATAGCATAGAATTGGGCCTGACCGCCACCTGATCGGCCTCCCCCTCTAGGGAGACCCCTAGATGACTAAGCTCTACCCCGAGCTGGCTGGACGGGTGGTGAAGTCGTAGGCTGACTCTTCTGCTGAGCTGGACCTCCCATAAGGTAGGGACAATACCTCTTAATGTGACCCATATCTCCACACTCGAAACAACCTCTCCCTGCGAATGACGATGGGGACTGGAGGGAGCCTCGAGCACCAGAATACCCGCTAGAAGAACCCGGTGCCGATGAGCCCTGAACTGAAGGTGCATGGGACGAACTATGAGCTGGAATGGAAATGAGAGATGACTGGACGTGATATGTACTAAATGAACCATGTCCGGATGATGCACCATAGTGAATTGGACTAGTCGTATGAGCATGCCTATAAGGATGACCCCTGCCGCGGTAGAACTGACCTCCTGAAGGAACACCACTAAAACCTCCTGACCCACGAGGCCTTTTGGCCTCCCTCTCACCCCGCTCCCGACTGCGTACCATCTCTATCTACCGAGGAATATTGACAACCTCATCAAAAGTAGCACCAGATACCCTCTCCCTAGTCATAAGCAACCGCAACTGATATGTGAAGCCATTGATGAACCTCCGAATCCTCTCTTTATTAGTGGGAACCAGCCAAACTGTATGACGAGCTAACTCAGAAAACCTCATCTCGCATTTGCAAACAATACTTCGCATTTGCGAAGTGGGGCTAGGGCAGGCTTGGTCGCATTTGCAATCAATTAGGTCGCAAATGCAGAAGATCAATGTTCGCATTTGTGAACAATTCATCGCAAATGCAATAGAAGCAGAGATGTGAAGGTCTTCGCATTTGCGATTGATTCTTCGTATTTGCGGGGTTCGCATTTGCGAACCCCAGGTCACAAAAGCGACATCTACAACTGATCGAACTAGGACTTAGACAGGATTTTGGTTCATTCTCTCAAATTTTCAAAACAAAAAACCCTTGAAGCGATTTTTCGAAGAACCTTTCTTCCCCAAATCATTGGTAAGTGATTCTAAACTAGTTTCTTTCAATCTTTCAATACATTTCCTAGGATTGCAACCAAAAATCTTGTGTTTTCATGGTGGAAATGGGGGGTTTTGGGTAGAGTTTGGGATTTTTGTAAAATAGAGATTTAGACCTCAAATTGAGGTCAGATTCCAAAACAAATTAAATAACCAGGATCTTGAGTGAATGGGTGTTTATATTTTGTGACTTTTACCTGATTCCGATACGTGGGCCCGATGAGGCTTTTTGGGGTGATTTTCTAATTTCTTGATTTAGCTTTGATTTCATTAATTAGATTAGTTTCTTATAGTTGTATTTATGGTATGTAATTGATTCTGGCTATATTTGGGCCATTCAGAGTCGGATATTCATGGAAAAGGCATTGTTACTGATTGATTAAGCTTGGTTCGAGATAAGTGGCTGGCCTAACCTTGTGTGGGGGAAATCCTATTAGGATTTGGTACTGTTGTTATATGTGAACGCCGTGTACGTGAGGTGATGAGTACGTACACGGTCTATTTGTTGTAAAACCCAATTTATTTTACTAAGTAGCAACCTGTTTTTCCTTTAATTTGAGTTATACCGTTTAAATGAGTATTAGTATGTTTTAATTCTTAATTGAGCTATTCCAGTGTGTATGGTTATCCTGTTTAGTCTAATATCGCATGACTACGTGATTTAACTGCTTATTTGAACTCTATGAAGCATGCCTAGTTGATTTCCTGCTTTCTTTTGTTCTTTATCAGTATAACTGTTGAAATCTTATTGTTAACTATTGTGTTTATTGATTTGAGATGTGTGTTTACTTTTGAGACTACGAGGCGGTTCCTCGGGAGTTCTCCTTGCACATTTACTTTTGAGACTACGAGGGGGTTCCTTGGGAGTTCTCCCTGCACATTTACTTTTGAGAGTACGAGGCGGTACCTCGGGAGTTCTCCCTTTATATTTACTTTTGAGACTACGAGGCGGTACATCGGGAGTTCTCCCTGTATATTTATTTTGGGACTACGAGACGGTATCTCGGGAGATCTCCTGCTGTTTACCCTGTGTGTTTTATTGATGTTTTGTTGTGTTTCCTTTTGCTAAAATATAGTCTCTTATTATTGTATATTCTACTGCCTTATTTATTATTTACCAGTGGGTTTGACGTGACCTCGTCACTAATCGACCGAGGTTAGGCTCGGCACTTACTGGGTACCGTTGTGGTTTACTGACGCTACTCTTTTGCACATGTTTTGTGTGCATATCCAGGCACTTCTTATTAGCCCCGCTATTAGCTAAGAGTGCTTGTTGCTGTATGGAGACTTCAAGGTACATCTGCCGCGTCCGCAGACCTCGGAGTCCCCTTCTATTCTCTCATCTGTCATTTACCTTCCGTACTTCTTTTATTATACTCTAGTATATAGAGATACTAGTTTCCTTCTGTAGCTTGTGACTTATGATGTTTCAGGTTTTGGGAATACTGTGTATTACTAGAGTGTTGGTTATTGTGCATTGCAAGTGGCATTGTTACCAGTTATTTAGTTATCTGTTGCAGTAAGATGTTAAGTTTTACTTCCATTTTATTATTTCCATATTATGTTAGGCTTACCAAGTCATAGAGACTAGGTGCTGTCACGATGTCTTATGGAAGGAGAATTGGGTTGTGACAAGTTGGTATCAGAGCTCTAGGTTTATAGGTGTCGTGAGTCACAAGCAAGTTTAGTAGAGTCTCGTGGATCGGTACAGAGATGTCTGTATTTATCTTCGGGAGGCTATGGAACTGTTAGGAAATATTACGCTGCTTGATTCTTTGTCGTGCGAAATTTGTTGACATCAAAATTCTAAACTTTTGTATTCTATTCTTTCTCAAATATGGTGAGGACCCGTACAGGCGGATCTGATGACCAGGAACCCGCGCCCCCTGCTAGAGCTGTGAGAGGCAGGGGCCGGGGTAGAGGCCGAGGACTTCCACGCGGTGCAGCCAGAGTACCCACATAAGCTGCTACAGAGGAGCCCCCAGTAGCTCCAGCTGGAGGGCAGACACCTGAGGTACATGTTGTTGCACCAGCCCTCTAGCCCAGTTTCTAAGCATGTTCAGCACCTTAGCTCAGTATGGATTGATTCCACTTACTCCTGCCACATCTCAGGCCGGGGGAGGAGCACAGACTGCCATCGCCGGTACCCTAGAGCAGCAAGATCAGGTAGACCAGGATCCAGAGATCATACCAGTGCATCTGGTAGTTCCAGTTTAGCCCGAGGTTAGGGCAGTAGTTTCTGAGGCGGAGCAGCTCGGACTTGAGAGGTACAAGAAGTACCACCCTCCTACCTCTAGTGGATTTGCGTAAGAGGATGCCCAGGTTTTTCTGGAGGAGTGTCACCGTATTATTCGTACTATGGGCCTATCGGAGTCGAGTTTGGGGTTTCTTTTACTGCATTCCAGCTTAGAAGAGTAGTCTATAAGTGGTGGCGTGCTTATGAGTTGAGTAGTTCGTCTAAGGCAGCTTCACTTAGATGGACTCAGTTCTCGGACATGTTCTTAAGGGAGAACGTTCCCAGAGTCTCAGATATGCATGGCGCATAGATTTTGAGCAGTTGTGCTAGGGTGCTATGACTGTGACAGAGTATTCAGTTCGCTTCAGTGATTTAGCCCAACATGCACCGGCCTTGGTTGCCACAGTTCAAGAGAGGGTTTGTCGGTTTATTGAGGGACTCCACCCCATTATCAGGATTAGTATGGTAAGGGAGCTGGAGATGGATATTCCTTACTAGCAGGTTGTGAGTATTGCTAGGAGATTGGAGGGCATGCCCGCTCGGGAAAGAGAGGAGAGGGAGGCCAAGAGGTCTCGAGAGTCTGGCACTTACAGTGGTACTCGTGCCCCAGCTGCAGTTCGCCATGATAGGGGTTATGTGAGTCACCCCGTTCATTCAGCTCTTCTAGCCGCTAGTGGTATTTCGGCCCATTTTAGGCCCCAAGAGCCTTATTATGCACCGTTAATGTCTAGTGTGCCTCCTGTACGGGGTGCTTTTGGCGGTCAGTTCATCAGACCTGGCTCGAGCCAGTCACAGTAGCCACGCTCTCCGAGAGCTTATTTTGAGTGTGGCGACACCCGCCATATGGTGAAGGATTGCTCCAAACTTAGGAGGGGTGTACCTCTACAGACTTCTCAGCCACCGCGTGCTCCACCGGGTCTTCAGGCTATAATTCCAGCACCAGCTACCACCCCACCTGCTCAGCTAGCTCGAGGTGGAGGTCGGGGAGGTCGAGGTCGCCCTAGATGGGGAGGCCAGGCCAGATATTATGCTCTTTTGCCTTGTACAGAGGCAGTTGCTTTCGACTCTGTCATTACAGGTATTGTTCCGGTCTGTTATAGAGATGCGTCAGTCTTATTTGTCCTCTTATTTTGCTCCGTATTTGTGCGTCCCGTGCTTATGTGTCTACTCCTGTGGGAGACCCTCTTGTTGTGGACCACGTGTATCGGTCGTGTTTGATTACTCTTAGTGGTTTTGATACCAGATCCAATTTATTATTGCTCAGTATGGTTGACTTTGATGTTATTTTGGGCATGGAATGGTTGTCACCCCATTATACTATTCTTTATTGTCACGCCAAAACCGTGATGTTGGCTATGCTAGGATTACCACGATTAGAGTGGAGAGGTATCCTAGAGTATACTTCCAGTAGAGTTATTTCATTTCATAAAGCTCAACGAATGGTTGAGAAGGGGTATGACGCGTATCTAGCTTATGTGAGAGATGTCAGTATTGATACCCTACAGTTGAGTCTGTTCCAGTAGTGAGGGACGTTTTGGATGTTTTTCCAGCTGATCTTCCAGGCATGCCGCCCGATATAGATACTGATTTTGGCATTGATTTGTTGCTGGGCACTCAGCCCATCTCTATTCTTCTATTTCGTATGGCTCCTCCTGAGTTGAAGGAGTTGAAGGAGTAGTTATAGGAGTTGCTTGATAAGGGCTTCATTCGGCCCATTGTGTCACCTTGGGGTGCTCCTGTCTTGTTTGTGAAGAAAAATGATGGTTCTATGCGTATATGCATTGATTATCGCCAGTTGAACAAAGTTACAGTGAAGAACAGGTATCTATTGCCTCGTATTGATGACCTATTTGATCAGTTACAGGGTGCCAGAGTGTTCTCCAAGATTGACATACGTTCAGTCTATCATCAGTTGAAGATTCGGGAACCAGATATCCCAAAGACTGCTTTCAGGACTCAGTATGGTCACTACGAGTTCTTTGTGATGTCCTTTGGGTTGACCAATGCCCCAGCAACTTTTATGCACTTGATACACAATGTGTTCCGGTCCTATATTGACTCATTCGTCATTGTATTTATTGATGATATTCCGGTGTACTCCCAGACTCGGGAGGATCATGAGCAGCACCTGAGGATTGTGCTTCAGACCTTGAGAGAAAACAAGTTATATGAAAAATTTTCAAAGTGTGAGTTTTGGCTAGACTCAGTGGAATTCTTGGGTCATATAGTATCGAGT